GGTGAACGCCTAGAACAGGCAAATCTTCAGGGGTTGGAAGTAGATGAGTGTTTGCCTGGCGCTGGGAGAACAGGCTGCCAGGAATGGGCAGGGACTGCGGAAGGCACCCGCTGTGATTTGGGCCTAGAAAGCCTTCTACGGCTGATGGCGGCGATGGCCGCACAGGTCTGTGAACGGCACTCACCCGACCCAGCAGGACTGTACGGTACGTGAATCGCAACTCAAAAGGCTGAAAATAACAAAAGATACAGTGCTAGACACAAGACACCCTCCCCGCCCCGCCATACGTTGGGGGTCAGGGTCCCAACATGGGGGTGAGGGTGCAGGATGTGGGGGGAAGGGTTTGGATTCCGTTTCTGGGAGTGCAGGATGCAAGGACAGGGTGAAGAGGTGCAGGGCTGTGAGTGGGTGCAGGGCATGGGACGTGGGGACAGGTGGTCCGTGGGAATGTAAGGTGTCAGGACCGCAGCCTGTAAGGGGCATGTGGGGTCCCCTGGCGCTGGGCGTAGGCACACTGTGGTAGGTAGCAGGGGAAGGGCCACCCCTCGGGGGCCATGGGTGGGCCCCAGGGAGCAGAGCATGGAGGCGTGGTGGAGGCTCAGTGGCATCTCCTCCCCTGGGCCCGCAGCACCCTCTTTTGGGTGTCCCACAGATGGGCAAGGGCTGGGATAGAGAAGTGGACCTAGGATTCAGGACTGCTAACAGGCTATGGCTAGGAAATAAAAGACTGAATGGAATAATTACAAAAATACTGAGGGCTGTCATCTCTGGGTAAAACTAAAACTGCTTTTCTTCCTGTCTTCTGCTCTAAAACCATCCCAATTGATGAGGTTCTGTTCCTAATGTGAAAACTCTGCCTGGCTGGGGGTGGGCACCAGGGCCCCCATACAAGCTTCCTGAGCTGCACTTTGCCCCTTGAGGGTCTCCCCAGTGCGCAGGAGGTGCTCACAGGCAGGACCGAGGTCTACAGAGCGGGGAGCCTCGCTCTGGGGCACATCTGCCCCTCAGCCTCGCCGCCTGTCCCACTCTGCTGAGCGCCATCCACTCAGAGGATGTGGCCTCCGGCTGGGGCCCTGGCCTCGGCCAGCAGCCGAATGTGGGCTCCGTCAAAGGTGCGGAAAGCAGCCGCCTCCCTCTCGTCCTGCATCCTTCAGGGGGTCTGAGGCAGCCTCGCCACTACACTCTCTTCCTACCAAACCTGAGGACAGCTTCAATTTCTTGTAAGACTTTCAGGGAATGAAAAGCATCAAGAAGAAACTAGGAGG